ACCTCGGATGGAGGTGGGGGTCGGCCTTCTCGACCTCTACACTTCAGACGGAGGTGGGGGTCAGCCTTCTCGACCTCCACACCTCGGACGGAGGTGGGGGTCGACCTTCTTGACCTCCACGGTTTGCGCACATTTTGCCTTGTGCCTCCATCGTGATGGACTTCTCTTCACGTTGGTTAGATTTTCTTAACTCATGCCTCAGACACATTTTCCCTTGTGCTTCTATCGTGACGGACTTCTCCTCACGAGGGTTAAATTTTTTCAACTCTACGCCCTGGGCTCATTTTGCCTTATGTCTTTGTCGTGGTGGATTTCTCCTCACAAGAGTCGGATTTTTCCTAACTCATGTACCTTGGGTAAATTTTGCCTTGTGCCTCCGTCATGACAGATTTCTCTTCATGTGAGTTAGATTTTTTGACTCATGAGTCTCGGGTACATTTTGTCTCCTGCCTCCACCATAGTAGATTTCTTTTCGTACCGGTTGGATTTTCTTGACTCATATACCTCAAACATATTTTACTTTGTGCCCATATATGATAGATTTCTCTTCATGCTAGTTGGGTTTTCTTAACTCACGTGCCTCTAGAACATTTTGCCTTGTGCCTCTACTATGACTAATTTATGCTCAAGCAGGTCAGGTTTTTCTAACTCATGTGTATTGGGCATATTTTGTCTTATGCCTCCGTTACAGTATATTTCTCTTCACTCGGATATGGTTTTCTTGACTTACGCATCTTGGATACATTTTGTCTTATGCTTCTATCGTGATATACTTTGGCACTTTTTGAGTTCTTTATCCATCGTGTCCCTTTGGAATTATCTTGAAAGGACACTTGTCTCAATCGTGGGAGGTGAGAGATTGACTCTCTCTCTATAAATCTTCCCTTACCATGTAGGATGAGACTCATTCTTCTATTTAAGCCTCATGAGTCTCCTCAAAAGCCTGTTACTTCACCTCCAATGCCTCCTTAGATGCCTTCTCTACTTCACCCTAGTTCCTTGCAAAGTGAGTCGGTCCTCGAGCCTCTCATAGCCCTAACATTAGTTCTATAACAATTCGATCATTCACTATCTTACTATTTTGCCTCCTTAGGTCGAGATGTTTTTTCTTTCTCACACAAGCTCCTCTCAATCTCCTGGTTGTTAGATGATCAAAGTTCATGCTTTGTCTTTGTACAACCGAAGGGTAAAGGAGGTCTCGACCTTGCCTTTATTGGGGGAGGCAATTCCTATGAACCCAAAGGTTATTTGAGACTTAGAGCTATAAAAAGCTCGAATGACTATAATTTAGTAATGAGTGCACCACTTCTGGATTACTTGCGAACTAGGTATTCTATGCCAATCGAGTTTGATAATGATTTCAAATCCCCTAACCCAATTATCATCCATTCAACCCCACGCTTGGGTCCTTTTGCTTACCTTGTGATGCCCTCAAGGCGGGACTTCATCTTCCCCTTCACTTAGTAATAGTATCTTACATTCAATGGTGGAAGATATTACCCTCTTAAATGATACCCAACTCATGACTCTATTTAATAGTGTTCATCGGAGAATGCTAGCATACCAGTATTACTCTAACTCATAAACTTTTTGCTACTTATTTTTAACTATGCAAGAGGAGAAGTGGCTATTATCTAGTTGTTCAAGGGTGCTTTTAAAGTTAGTGATGCTCATTTCAACCATAAGGGTTGGAAGAAGCGCTTCTTCCTTGTAAGTTTGTATCAGGATTGAGGGTTTAAATTTGCTTAGTCGGCACATTGCATAGATAATACTCCCCCTTTCTTGTCGGACAAGGAGATGATTCTAGTGCTTTGACTAAGAGACATATTCTCTTCCTGCTGACTATTACTATGAACTCTCTCCAACTACTTGGTGAAGTCGGTGAGGCATTGCTCGGCCTCCTCTAGTTGTCATGCTAGCTCAATCCCTTGAGCCTCCGCCTCGACAATAACTAAAGGGGCTCCTCTCTCCTTTAACCTTCGATTTCGTCTCCAAGATCATCAATTATAAGGGACTGCTAATGAATGACAAAGCCAACATCCCTTACACAGTTAAAAAGGGCCACTATATAGTGGTAGTGCTGTAAATTAAAGACAAGTGAATGAGCAACGTGAAACTGAAGGGACTAGTCACAACCTAACTTACTAGCATTTCGTTACATTAGCAGGTGTCAATCAAGATCTATTATACCACCCCCAAACACAAGGACCCATGATATTATTGCTCCAAAGCTATGCTATCGCCTCACACTTTCTACCCCATCTATAAATCCTCACATCTTGATTGCAATGGTGCATCCAGGGTTGGGTATGATAGGTTGGCTATTTGAAAAGCCATGAAGGGTAGTGGCTTGCCCTTGCACAAGTCTAACATTAACATTTGCCTCTCTCCTATTTTCCTGTAAAAAGACTTGGAACTATAAGGACCTTCTAAAGGTGCTGACATTATGGAGGTATGAGGTACTTCATTTGGTCCCCTTTTTAGAACCATCTCCTCGAGTTCCTCTACCGTTCGGGGGTAGGGCACCTTCTTCATGATGATCTTTTTCTTTTTCTTTGGCTTGTCAATGCTGGCATGATGTCCATACTGAGTTGGGCTTGACGCTTTGAATAATGACTCACAAACAGTGACCATAGCTGAAGGGGTTATCACCATGCTTAAAGAGGAGCTAAGCCCCTTTTTTTTTCAAAGAGTGCAAATTCATGCTTATAGAAGATCAAAATCATAAGGCTACAGAGGATAAAAAAAGAAAGGTGAGGTGAAGTGATGGGATGTTTGGGTCATACCCCGAGGAGCTAGGTTTAATATTTTTCCTCACTAGGTAGATAAAATTATTTACAAAAATTATAAAATTATACCCGACAAAAGTTTGATGAATCAACATAGATTAATGGTTTTAGATATTACTATAGAAATAAAAAAAAGGGTAATAAAAATTTTACTAGGACTAGATGGTGAAATTTTAAAGATAATAATATAAATATTTTTAAGAATAAGATGAAAAGGGATGTGACTTGAAACTTAGACGAGGATAATATCGCTATTATTTGGATTACGATGACTAAGAAGATTGCAAGGTTAAAAAATGAGATTTTTTATTAAACTATAACCTTAAAAGAGAGTTGGTAATGATATGAGGAAATTCAAAAAATAATTTTTACTAAAAGATCATATTGTAAAGATTGATAAAATTATAAAATAAGAAAAAATTTGAAGGATATAAAGAATCTAAAAAGAGATTCAAGAAAAGATTCGTATGACAAGATATAAAATTTATGATAATTTTTTAATACATTATGTACTAAAATGATGAAAAAATACATATCAAATTACTAAAGCCAAGAAAAAAAATGTAAGAATTTATGTAATATTAGATGCATTAAAAATGAAGATCAAATTAGATAACAAGATTAAAGAAAGGAAAAAAAAATATTTTTATAAATTATTTAATGAGTATTTTATATAGGACTCTTATTTAATGATAAATAATAGTGGTAGATTTAATAATCATAGATCTATTAGTAAAAATTAGAGTTAATGAAATAAAAAATAACTAAGAGTGTTAAGCCTGATGGTATCCTAATTAAGATCTGAAAAAATTTAGAGGAGAAGAGAGTAGCTTAGTTAACTAGCTTATTCAACAAAATCATGAGATTTAAAAATATGTCTAATGAATAGAGAAAGAGTTTTTTAGTATCGATTTATAAAAATAAGGGTGATAATAAAATTATTCAAATTATATGAAAATTAAAATCATGAGCTATACTATGAAACTTTGGAAAAAAAATTACTGAAAGTACGATAAGACTTGAAACAAATATCTTTGAAAATTAATTTGGTATTATGCATAAAAGATCAATCATAAAAGCTATTTATTTATTAAGATAATTAATAAAAAAAGTATAGGGAGAAAAAAATATTTGTCTATGATTTTTATTAACTTAGAGAAAGCCTATGATAGGTTTCCTAAACATTTATTATGATGAGTTTTAGAAAAAAAAGATATATCTACTATTTATATTAATATTAAAGATATAATGATAATATAGCTACTAATGTTAGAACTATAAGGTATGTATCTAGTGAGTTTCCTATTAGCATGTGATTACATTAAGGAACCATATTATGTCCTTATTATTTCACATTGCTAATAGATAAATTTACTAGCGACATATAAGATAGACTTTCATAGTATACGTTATTTGGTGATAATATTATTTTAGTTGATGATTGTCTAAATAAAATTAATCATAAACTTAAGTTAGGTGGCAAGCCTTAAAAACTAAAAATATTAGATTAAGTAGGACTAAAGCTAAATATACAAAATATAATTTTAGTGCTTCTAAAAGTAGATAAGAGAATATAATTAAATTGAATGGATAAGAAATATTTCTGAGTAAAAGCTTTGTGTATCTTAAATCAATTATTTAATAAAATAAAGTGATTAGTGAAGATATTATTGATTGAGTAAAAACATGATAATTAAAATAATGAGAGGTATCAAAAGTTTGATGATCGAATATGTTTGATATTAAAAAAAAAATTATAAGATAATTGTAAGACTATTTGATCTGAGTGTTGGATATTTAAGAAACAATATATTTTTTACTCTGAACAACTAAATACCGTTTTAATACAAAATAACATTAAAAAAATTATTTAAAATGATATATATATATATATATATATATGTGTGTGTGTGTGTGTGCTTAGGAGAGATAATTAATATTAGTAATATGAGATAATCATAATAAAAAATTAATGATAATAATATGATATTTTTTTTAATAAAAATTATAAATAAAAATTTAATATTTTAAATTTAACTAAATATATGATTTTTTTCGGATCTCAATAACAATAAAAGATCCATATAATCAATCTCAAATAATTGAGATTTACAGTTTTATTATTATTATTTTCCATATAAGATTTTGGTAGAACGAAGAAACCTCATAGCTCATTGAATCATTCAACTCAATCTTTGTTATACTGTAGATTAACTACAGATCTCCAAAATGCCAATGTTTAATGTACATTGGGGGCAACAGATCCAGGTTAACATAAAAATAAATGATCCATAATATCAAGTGTCTGAATGGCAGAGTTCAACAAATTATAAGATGCACAAATAACAAAAACAATCTTCACACAACGTGTGTGCACTTCCTGATCAAAATTCTTGAAGCAGAATAGAGCGGAGCTTTGGTTTCTTTGGTAATTATGCGCTGACCTAGTGATACAATGCTGCTTGAAATTTCTAACGCATGTCATCCAGCCTTCTATTTTTCTTCAGTTTCCTTATTCACATATACTATGAACTTAACAAAACTGCCTGTATAAGAGAAGGTAATGAATTAGATGCATAAAAAGAATATGTATCTGGAATACTGAAGCAGCTACTGTAAATAATCTACATACCGAATTATGATCTTAGATTGGGCAAAGTCATTTCAAGAATTAATAATTGAGAAATCCTTTTGAGAGTTTTTGCCACAAGAATTTGCTGACACGAGAAGTTAAAATCAGCCAGGGAACCATCCCAACCTGTATTGTGATCCATGGAACAGCGCAAAGTCATGGAAAAAGAAATTAATCAAGTCATCTTGTTTTGATGCACAACTCAGGTAATGAATATACCATGATTTGACCTGTAGCAGAATTTCCAGCTCTCCAGGACAATATCTTGCCTGCCAAAACAAGACAAAAACATCAATCTTTGACGCTGGACCCCTTGAGGGCAACTGCTAGATGTAATGGACATACTGTAAACCAAGTATGATGACAGAATAGAAGGGAGATGGAAAAAGGAATAAGAAAACAAACATCAATAATTTGCTCAACACAACTTTTTTAAAATTTTTGGTAGAAAATAGAGGTGACTATCCTTGAAATATTCATCCAGAATAAGATGATTTGAATAAAAATATATGATGTTCAGATCAAGTTTTTATAAACCAAATTGGGCCTGATTTTACCTCTTTACTAAGTGGATGAATTATTGCTATCAATCAACATGAAATAAAACTTTAAATTCTGATGTTGAGTAAGTAGGAATATAATTTTTGTAAAGTCAATGGGCAAAGAATAGAATGGTCTTTAGAATCTCACATCCTTTCTAGTTCCTCTAATGTAAATTTCTTCATAAGATAATCTCTCCGATCCTACAGTTTAGATCTCCAATACAAGAACACAGCCATTGTATCATTGTAATCAGCACAATCGGACAATTGCCTTAAGTTTGAATTTGTTTGAAGCAAGGTTCGCAATACCGTACCGTACCGGAGTTTCGACCTGGGCTCGGTACCGGTACGGTACGGTATACCGCTCGGTACACCCAGGTGTACTGCTACAGTACTGCTACAGTACCGGACCGGTAACATGCGGTCCGCGTACCGGAAGCCTGTCGGACCGGTACGTACCGCCCGTACCGGGCGGTTCGGACCGGTACTGCAAACCATGGTTTGAAGAAAGTCTTTACAACTCAATAACAAATTAAGCATACAATATTATACAACTTATGCAAGTATTTTTATTCTAGCAATTTTCAATCAATTACCAACGAGGCTCAAAATTGCACAGGGTTACACTTAAGAGTGCTCATTGACAATAGTAGAATGCCCAAAAAGCAGAGATTCTTGAGGAAAAATTGGAACATGCCTGCTTGGATAATCAATGACCAACTTATCAAGATAATCTTTCTCAAATTTGATACATTGAAAGATATTTGAAGTTAAAGTAACAACAATATTAAAAATAATTTCAGATGCCAATATTAAAGATCAGGCTTTCTAGTTCACATTAACAATATCCTGATTCAAACATATAGAATGTCCAGAAAGGCAGATATCCTTGACAATTGTACCTCCTTGGATGTGTTACATGGGGATAATACATGACCAACTTACACATACAATCTCACATTTGATAAAAATGAAAGATAGTTAAAGTAACAATATCATTCAAAATAGCTTCAGATGCCCGTTTATTGGAGTAGACAATGTTAATTATTTCAACATCAGGGGAACAATGGGCTATAAAAATCTTACCAAATGGCTGCAGCAAATGATGAGGAACTGCTGCAACAGGAACTCCCCAGAATTGCAAAACAAGTGTAGCATAGAGCAGCACCTAGGAGAAGCAAAATAATCATCGAGTCCTTCTAAACGTAGAGAGAATATGAAAACTCATTTTACCTTGATAACCAGCAGGACCCTCCCACACAACTCGTAAAACCATGATTTCTCCTTCCTGTGCTCCTCTTGTTCTGCATGTGCATTAATTAAGTAAAAGAAATTGTTTAGAAAACCATTACACAATCTTGATGATTTTATATCCCACATATATAAGAAGCAATAGATATTTGAGGATTGTGGAAGAATGCAACAAGCAAATTGTAAAAAAAAATGACCACCATAACTCTGTGAGCTACATGCAAGACTTAATCATCAATCAAGAACATTACAGTCTGTAAGAAACAAACAGTCAGAAAGATTGTGAGGGAATTTTAGGTAACAGGTCCTAATGGATTAATATGGTAAACAAAAATCAAGGTAAGGAAAGAACTCCATGAATACAAGGTAAAAATATAAGCAAACAACTTTCAAATCCAACTCTTCCCCACCATCATCGCTATGATCTTGTAAAAATAACCAACTTTCTTAGCACTTAGCAGAAAATGAATAAATCAATAACAGAAGCAGAAAACTGCAACGTCATTTCCTATCTATGACGCAAAGGCCTAGATCAAACACAATGCCAATGTCAGGTATATCCTTGCTTCTAATACAAAATCATTCTTATATGCAATCTAACATTCTACAGATGCCGTAGCCCCAACAGTAAAGATGAATTTAAGAGATGATACAAGCAATAGGTATGTTGTTGTAAACTTGCGAAATAAATTGCTTTGTTAAGAAGAAAAGGTTGGGTGAGTTACTCAATATGTGTAGTAGAGAGAAGTAGAAGGAAAAGTGAAAGGAAATAGACTAGAGACTTGATGTCACAGAAGTAGAAGTCATGAAAGATGGAAGAAAAGAAGCACAGAATTGTTCATTAGTAAAAACATCCAACTCCTTTTGATAAAATAACTTGAATAATTTCTTCAATAGACCAAATATCTTTTTAATATAACGACAAGAAGAGTCCAATTCAGAACGTGAATACAAAAGAAATCAAACTATCACCAAATCCAATACTGATCTAACAACAAACTATATCTAGGAACATAAGAGTTCATTTACTAACAAAATGAAACAAGCCACAGAAATACAGTCAGATTATTAAGAATAATAAAACATAAGATAGTATATTAATTTAATATGCAGTCAGGTAACATATAAAACTGTCTAGCATGTAAATGGCTGATGCATATCATCCCAAAAACTGATCAAGTATGAAGTTTGCTAAGCTTCATCATTGTGTACAAAATACTCTAGAGACACAAAACACTTTTAGATAGATCCAAGTTAAGGAGTTGATTGACTGATTTGACTGGAGAATACAGGGTCATCATGTCAAAGTAATATGAAAAATTCTTCTAGGTAGCACCACAAATAGATAGTTCGTAAGCCTGCAAGTTGTTATTCTAATTGAGTAGGATAAATAACAACTAATTCACATAATCCAAGTTGTTACTGTATATATACTTCTTAGTAGCTCCTTTTCCTTGGCTGCAGCCAGTCGTCTGAGCTTTGCAGACTGAGCAAAGGTTGAGGGCCTGCAGTAAAAGGAAAAGAATAATCATCATCATCGTAATGTATGCAATAGATGCATTTCTAAATAAGCATTATAACAGAAGTGTTACAGACCGCACATAATATCTAAATTGACATACCATAAAGTGCTACCAGAAAATATACTCTGACTATATTTGAATTATTGTAAAACTGTAAGACAACCTCGTTGGAGATGTTTGAACACCTACGTTGACAAGGAGCTAGCCTCTTTTAAAAGTTGTTTGATTTCTTTTCGCAATTGAACTTCTTCAGCACTATGGATCCCTTTCTGCAAAGGCAGTGTAACACATTTAAAAGGAAATAGTATTTTGAGAAAATGCCCTAGTAAAATTCATCAATCTCCACAAGTTTACATAAATATAATTTAGAAAAAGGATTCAGTAGCTTATAGGACAACTAATATCATTCGTCCTAAACAGAACATTATTACCCAGCAAAGGTCAAGAAGGAAATACAAGAAAATATGGGGCTAAAGTTGCAACAAAGAGGAAAAGTACAACTGAACTTATATGAATGTGTACTTACACAAATCAGAAAATAGATATTGAAAAAAAAGGAATTCATGTTTTACAGAAAAAAAAAAATCTAAAGTGAAGTGTACAGAGATGGGGTATGAAAAGGGATTGCTTTTCAGAGCATAAAGCAGCAGAAGATTATGCAGCTTCATATGAAATCCTAAAATATTGGCAGAAAATTTATTTTTTAACCAGAAATGCTTACTACCGAAAAACCCTAGGAGGTTGGTAACAATTCATTATTTCTTCTGAATAAAAACAATCTAGAGAATAAAGAAATATAATTTGAACACAAAAATAATTTGAACACAAAAGAGGATGTAGTGAGAAAATTTTCTTGGGATTGATGAACAATTCTTGATTTGGAAGAGCACAACAGTTAGGCTGATGAACTAAAGATTCATCTTGCATGATTAGATGAAATTTTGTAACAAAGTTTTAGTAATTTATAAGACAAGAACATCTTACCGATTAGATGCTCATGTTGGCATTGCAAAAGGCCCAAAAAGAAAAAAAAATTAATAAGTGGGAAGATCTAATAGGATGATAACTTGTCCAAGGTAAAATGAATAGAAAATAAAAACTGGAAGAAACCCATTGGGAATCATGGTCATGAGGATTGCTTAAGAAGATTTAGAAGAGATGGATAAGAAATCTGTCTAACCACATTAATTTACATTTTATTTGAATGCCTCATTTAAATTCCTACATCATATTTTAAACACTATTTCATATGTATGTCAAATTGGTTGATGACAAGATTTAGGAATCACATAAATTGCCCGACACTAAGCAAGACAATCATTTTAACCAATGCCTGAGAGCTCTATAAAAAAATTAAGCACAGCTTGTCACACAATCATAAACCTTTTGATAAACACCTTCTCAAGGAGTAATTCACAGTTTTATGGTGATCTGACCTTTAATTAGAAAAGAGATAGAGATATACAAGAGAACCTACAGAAGAAATATTTATACCATGAGCGAAGATCATTCATGGGCCTACATATTGATAAGTTTCAATTACAAATATTTCATGCAGAGTTGAAGATTCTAGATAGGTAAAATCAAGGTTCGCCATATCACGGTATATAGTTCGGTATGGGCGGTACATACAGATCCAATAGGAGACCAATATGGATAGTACATATTGGTCTATCGGTACATCTCACCATACCATGTGTCGGTACATTGGTATGTACCATACCGACGACTGGTCAATACACAAGTACAATCTGGTAAAACAAACCATGGGTAAAATAATCCCTATTCCTCAAATAACTACACGAGGCAACTACTAGTTACAGGTGCCATACAAGTCAATCACGTGAGTGATGACATGCACAATCTTTTTTTGTTAATATTAATAATGATATTTTCTCACTTCATATTATATGATGAATATATTGTGATGTTCTTGAATCTGTGCAATGAGAATTGGATCACGATGAAATCATGATAATGAGACCAATTCTCCTTTAAATACAGATCTTAAATATTCCTGGTCATAGGTTACTTGAGAAGGACATCAAGGTAATCGAACAGATCGGTGTACTATATACCGATTCATATGATTGATGGAGGCGGCTGGTCTCATAGCTGCTTGTGTGGGGACACTAGAGATATAGTACAGGTGCTCATTGAAGAATGAGTTCACTGAATGATCCGTTTACGGAATGCTGGATGGTTAATGATACCTCATTGTCAAACAACGTTTCTGTAGTCTCAGTAGTGTATTTGGTCACTCGACTTAAGACACCAAGGATGTCTTGTGTGGGGACACTAGAGATATAGTGCAGGTGCTCATTGAAGAATGAGTTCACTGAATGATCCGTTTACGGAATGCTGGATGGTTAATGATACCTCATTGTCAAACAACGTTTCTGTAGTCTCAGTAGTGTATTTGGTCATTCGACTTAAGATATCAAGGATGTCTTGTTTGAGTACTTCATTCTTTGATACCAGACTTATAGGTTTAGAAGTTTCAGATCTAGTACAGATGGTCATTGGGAATGACAGCCAACCTTACGAAGGCAATTGAGTGTCAATAAAGGATCATCCACTCTCGCTATCATGAGAGGAATATCCCGTGTGTTCTCACTAAAGCAAATCCCTAGCCAGGGTCACTCGGATTGAGAGAGAAAGAGTTCTCCGGAGAATCCAATAAGAGTGAGACTTGGATGAATTTCGTATGGGCCTGATAACACCATGTCTGGCATATGGTTTCTGGGATATTAAATGGATGAAGGACTATATATATATGATAACTAAGGGTAGATAGGTACAATGGATTAAATCCCCCTGTACTGTATGAGGACTATGGTGTAGTGGCATAGTACGTCCATAGTCGATAAGTTGAGTAAATTATTATGAGGATAATAATTCATTGAGTCAGAATGCCCCTTCTGACGGATGCAACTCGCTGCTAACTCGATATTAGGCCTAGAGGATCACACACATATGGTGGATGATGCGATGAATAGAGGATTGGATATGAGATATCCAATAAGACCATGTTTTAATGGATTTATTGGGTGAGACCCAATAGAGTTTAGAGTGGTTATTGGATAGGGATCCAATATCCATGAAGCCAATAATTATTGGATGGGGATCCAATAACCACTAAGAAGGATCCATTAGGATTAGCAAGAGAGACTATTTATAAATAGGAGTGGGGCTCAAAGGATCATAGGCTCTTACAGCCACCGGCCTCCTATCTCCTCCTCCCCCTATCTCTCCTTGTCGTGAGCCTCCCTGGTGTGAGAGAGCAGCAAGAGGGCCAGCCCCTCTTTTGATTGTTGTTGTGTAGTGGTACGCGATCACGAGGAGAGAACCCACTGCACAAGGAGGTACGTCGTCGCTACGTCCGTTGTGTGGATTACCGCTAAAGAGGAGCTTGCGAGAGCTCCATCCTACGGATTAGGATCTGCGATTTAGGGGATATACAATCTCCCCTAGGTGAGAACGTCTCAACCATTTGATGCGGTTTTATCGTTTCGAGTTTTTTGCTCGCGAGCATCACACGACGATTCGATAATATTTGTTTTGGGAAACCGTTTTTGTATTTATTTTCCACTGCGCATTTGATACTTTATGAGGTTTTTCAACAGCAACTAGTAGTCAATCTTTAAGCAATTAAAACTCTTTCTGAATAACTAACTACCCAAAGAAACCTAAAAAATAATAAATAGTTTATGTCAAATCTTATCTTCTGTGACGATCATATCCCAAGATGGGATGTTATAGGAAAGAGTAGATGAGATGGGTCGTTTTGCAAATATGTGAAGTTACATACGACAAAATGATCAATAAAATATTTTCTTGCCATAATAAAATCATCATAACTATTAATGTCAATTTCCAATAAAACTGAATACAACCGTTTCAGCTGTTTGGTCAACAGCAGGTTTTCAAATGCATGGAAAGACCTAGTAATTCCTTAATAGACACAGTATACAAACTTCTATACGAAAGCACAAATAACCTGTGCAGGGTTAGAGAGTTCAGAATAGGTAACATCATCGTTCTATTCCCACATTAACTCTTAAAGCTAATAATTAGTCAATCATTGAGAGATTGCAATACTTTCTAAATAATTATCCAATATATGAAACTTGACAAATTAAGAATAAGACGCTGAAAAAGAAATAGGAAACCTCGCAATCTCCATAGCAAAGAAGGAACTTTTGTTCTCAACAACGCAACTCCTAACAAGCGTATCATTAACCATCACGTTTACGAGCTAGTAACATCACTAAACTGTCGATCTTCACCAAAGATCAAAGTTTCATCCATTTACTTATGATTTATCGACAAGATAGCTAAAAATTAGGCGTCCCATTGGATTCCAATAAGGGAAGGTGAGTTCCATACGATCTCCGCGGATAGTACAGAAACAAGAAAATCTCCGGGACAAGTCGATTCGAACTCGCTTACCCTTTTGACGAAATCGAGGAGGCCATCGAGGGTTTGCAGAACGACGACGATGAAGAAGATGAAGAGAGGGGAGAGCAAGCCGCTGCCGGAGGTGCCGCCGTTCATCCTTGAAGCCACCGGAGTGAGAGGGACGTGATTAGACCGGCGATGTTGTGGTAAAAGCTGGTGGCGTGAAAGCGGTCGAGATGAAGGCGATCCCACCGGCATAACATCCGGGTCTGACGAGGTCCATATTAGGTTCTCCAAGTAAACCCGGTTCGTGAAGCAACTAAAGCGATCAACTCCTCCCGATTTATGCCAAATAAACCGGGTTCGTGATAGGAAGTATTGCTCGGGTTCAAAAGGTTAGGGTCAGGGTTTGGATTTACTTAAGTGAATAAAGTATGTGTCAATGATGTCATTATTCTCACATTAAGTTATTTACTGTTGTGATTTATATTTAATATTCAAATAAGAGGATTATTTGGTTTTGTTTTTAGAATATTTTTACATTTATTTAAGGAAAAACAAAAACAAAAACATAGCATATGGGCTCTTCAGCTAAGTTTCGTTCAGGATCGATATAGTAGAGCTCGGAGGGCTTGAGGCCCTCGGTCACGTTGAAGAATCTGAGCACAGGCAGCCACCGGTCCCATCTCTTCAGCCGGTGCACCACCACCGTCCCCGGGATAAGCTCGTGCGAGCAACGCCCGTTCGTCCCCGGGTAATCGTACATCGCCGCCGGCTTCTCCGCCACCCGGTTCTTCGCCTTGTTCCCCCTCCTCAGTCACCTCCCCACCAGCTTATCCTCCGGTCCCACCGTATCCCTCGCCGGGATCTCCGACGTGGCGATCCACTGCACTAGGTCCCACGAAAGCACGAACTCCATGCCCGACATGTACCCGACGGAAGGGTCCCTGCTCGAGCACGGGACGGCCGCACAGTAGTAGAGGTCGCTCCGGTGATGCGGGAGGACGGTTGGCAGAGAGGAGAAGTAGGTGTAGGTCTTGCCGGCGTTCATGTTCTCGGTGCAGTTGAGGACGATGATGTCCTCGAAGCGGAGGATCTCCAACGCGATCAGCATCCGCTGCTCGGCCTTGGTGAGCCTGCAGAGGACGAACTTGACGTGAATGGTGGCAACGGAGGAGGCCTGCGTGCCGTAGACGAAGCGGAGGAAGTGGCGGCGGTCGTAGAGGTCGGCGCGAGTCAGGATACCGATAAGGAGGCTGAACTCTCGCTTAGCTGCGGGTGGAGCGGAGGCGGTGACAAGGCCTTCATTGGAGAAGATGACGGTGGTGGGCTTCAGATGGAGGCCGAGGAAGAGGAGTGCAAACAAGAGGAGAACACCAAGCAACAGCGACAACCCACGCATCCTTCACGTACCATGAATCCTTGGTTGGTATACGTTCATCATAGTATTTAATATGGTTAGATAGATGAATTCGAAGACACTGTAACATGCAACTCTCGTTGCTGTTCTTTCGGTGTGTGCTTAAGTTGATCCTATCTGTGGTTGTGTGTGTTTCGAAGGGCGTTTAAGTTGGCCATCTCACGTGAACTAAACTCATCTCAGTTTGAGAGGAGAGAATTAACGTTCGGGAACACCCCATGTCTCTTTTGAGGAATCCAACATCAACGCCGAAAGAAGGCAACCGAGATGCAGGAGGTATGGATTGTGACAAAGATTGTAAGTGTGAATTAAACTGTGCGCATCCATAATTAAGATCGATCATCATACAATTCCAAGAGAATTAGGGCATCATTGTGTGAGTGGCATTCGTGGCTTGTGAGAAGCTTCAAGATTAGATAGAATCAAGAAAAGAAAAGTGAAAGTGAAAGCTGTGCGAGGACCACAATGGAGGTGCTTCTCCGGGATCATCAAAGGCAAAGGAGATATAAAGCATGGAGGTGTTCCATGAAGAAGGAGGAGGAGGCAAGATATGCTTTGATGAGTCTTTTCACCATGTCAATACTCTTTATGAGGATTTTGATGTATATTTATACAGGGAATTAGTAGAAATTTGTGGCATAACTTTGAAAATGGTTTAGTTAAGAAATATTGTGATGTTTAATTAGAAAACTTAAGATAATAAAAATTTAATTTAAATAATGTTAAATGATGCGCTTTATACTCACCTAATCCCTAATGCTAAGTCTAAAATGTTATTTCATTATTTTTGGTGTACAAATTTCAAGTATTAAAAAAAATTTGTAAATTTTATTATAATATTAGTAATTTGATATATCACTATTCATAGATATAAAAGAGCATCCAACTCATAGAAAATCTAATTTTCATGGCCTTTATGTGTTGGGTCATTCGACGAATCGATAATCAATTTTGATACTAATAACTTCTAATCAATCATTTTAATCAGATGACTTCTACGCTAATTACTTAATAATGTAATATTATCTCAATTGAATGTCTTTACCATTGATCATCTCGATCAGACGGCTCCCATATATGGTATCTTTTGATTCAAAGAAACCCTTTCATTCCAAATTATGCTAAGCATATGAATCACACAATGGTTTCATGAACTCCAAACTTAATTTGTGTATGCATGTGTTTTATCTTATCTCTTAATGTGTGGGAATTGAATTCTCTAATATATCAAAAGAATTGTGTAACTTGGTCCTTAAACTTTTCTCCAGGCTCATATATTTCTTCTCTTTCTTCAATGTAGTTGTGAGAAAAGCCAAAAAATTAAGTACTAGTTCTGCAATAGAGATTGAATCCCAAAGGTTGGAACTTTGGAAATAACATATTAGAGTGTTCTTCACAATTGCATTTGGAAGCTAAATCTTCCATATAACAGAGAGGATATTGTCAGTGGAAGCTTCATATTGGCATTCCAATGACAACTGATAACAAGATCTAGCTGCACTACATTGAAGATATTTCACCTTATTTTTATTGTAACAAATTTAGATCTTAAAAAGAAGACTTAAGTTCTCAAATACCAATAATGTATTTTATATTGCACCAATGAAAACCAAAACTCATTATAAAAAATCACATTTTTTTTATTATGACAAACCTACTAATATTACCAGAGAAATTGGCATTCTTTGCAATGAAACTTAAGTCTGGCCTCTCAATGTTTAATGAATTAAATATTAGCATATCAACTTATTTAGTATCTGACAACAATTAACTACTATCATTTTTAAAGAGTTCAAACTGCAACCTATTAGTTTTTTCCTTTCTTCACTTCTCTTTTTGTATTTTTTTAATCTAAAATTCAAGATATGGAAAGACTAGTCTTATGTGCATTATTATTACTTCTTCTAACTTGGTATTTAATCTTACTTAAAAGGATATTAATATATGTGTGCCAAAAGAAAAAGTAGGCCTTGATCTTGACTCGTAAAAGAAGAAAAGTAAATATCCTCTGTTTTCTCTTTCTCCCTCAAGATTTTGATGGCCAACAAAGACAGGAGATGATTAACTGGTTTAAAGGTAGTTCTGAGTTCTCTTTAAGAACTAAAGTTGTTTCCAGGCACAGCTAAAACTTCAAGTGACACAATAAATTTACTCAAAGCTTGAGAAGAGAACCCAAATCTTGTCCATCAGCACATGATTTCAAGCACTTTAGGTTTTTGTAGCTCTTGCAACATCTATTACCAGGTTAAAGAAACATGTGCAAGTCAAATTTCCTTCAAATTGTTGTGTGATAATTAATGGTAAAGGGAAGTTGTAAAGAGCCTGTGGCTCACATAAGAATCAGAAAAAGAGAGAGAGAGAACTACTTGGAGTAGAGACTTTGCATCCTTTATAAGTGTGGACTAAAGTTAAAGGAGAAGGCAGCTGAGGAGGTCTCAGGAGAAGAAAGAAAGAGGTAGAAAGAAACAAAGGAAGCAGGGAGAGACAATGGCTCCCATGGGTCTTCCGCCAGGCTTCAGATTCCATCCCACAGATGAGGAGCTGGTGAATTACTATCTCAAGAGGAAGATCCATGGTCTCAAGATCGAGCTGGAAATAATCCCAGAAGTGGATCTCTACAAATGTGAGCCATGGGATTTAGCAGGTTTGCCTAAAGAGATCACTGCGATCTTGATCATCCTACGACACATTTCTCTCCTTCTCATGTTCTCTGATTTCTTGGGTTCTGTAAGGGAAATCATTCTTGCCAAGTAGGGATCCAGAATGGTACTTCTTCGGACAACGAGATCGGAAGTATCCCAATGGTTTTCGCACGAACCGCGCAACGAGAGCTGGATACTGGAAGTCGACCGGGAAGGACCGACGGGTTTGCCATCAGAATCGAGCCATCGGCATGAAGAAGACATTGGTCTACTACAAAGGCCGAGCTCCTCAAGGAGTGCGTACCAGCTGGGTGATGCATGAGTACCGTCTCGATGATAAGGAGTGCGAGGATACAGTGGGACTTCAGGTACCATCTTCTTCCTCATGCCTCTCCTTCCATGTAGCACATAATCATGACGAGGCATCACATGGATTGTTCATTCGGCACAGTAGCAGATCTGTGTCTTCTGCTGGGCTACGTGAGCGAGAAGAGTGTTGGAAAGTAGAGGTGCTACGTTGGTTATGCATGGAGTGCATGGAAAGTTAGGGTTTTCGGGTTGCTTGCCTCTCTTTTTTATCCACAAGAAGCATGCAGTCAGATATTCTTTTCTTGCTTTGGTCCTTGCCAAAGTGCAAGGCTGCTTTCAGTGGTCTATCGAGACGATTGTTTATTGTTGCTTTCTGCATTCGAGTAAGACAATTGCAGAATGCTCTCAGTTGTTCATCACCATTAATTTTGTGTCCATCACACTTGCTTTATGTATATGAGTGGACATAATCTGCACTAAAGCAAAGATAACCATGCATCCCTCATGCATGGTATCCAACGTTGTCGGTGGTGGCTTTTCACTTTATTCCCCTCCCTTCTCTCTCTCTCTCTCTCTCTCTCTCTCACACACACACACACACACATTACAGACACCTAGTATACCTCTGATATTTTACTCTCCTAGTATAATTAAGATGACCTTCTCTTGGGTGATGTATACAACATTACCTGAAAGATTCAGAAATCTTGCAAGAACAAATTCACAACTAAACTGAACTCCAAATTCTGCAGAACTCAATAAGAATACAGAAGTACAAGAAATTAAAGCAATCAGAAGCAAAACTGCATTAAATAGAACAACTACTTTGTTTCTGTACTTCAGGTGCAAGCCTTCACTTCTACCCTGGCTTCTGATGTTTTGATTGTCATGCTCTATCCATGCATTCAAAATGTTACGTGGCTTCCTCCCTTTTTGCCCCTTGCATTGATCAAGAAACGATTTTGCTTTTGGAGTGTAAAAACATAGCTCCTACTAATCTGCCACCTTTAAGCAGACTTTGGCATTAAGTGATATGTGTGTTCTCATGACCAGTATTAGAATGATGGCCGGTAGTCGCATTGTACTTCACAGTGATGTCTGTGCATATTTTGTGTCATCAATCATTGGATTTATGCAAATTTATACAGCCATAACTCTGCTCTCTTCCTCCTCGGTGAGTTCAAAGTATTCTTGATGTTGATCTCCTCAGATCTAGCGTGCTTCCATATTGCTCTGTCTTAACTTTGAGTTATTGCCATCACCTGATGTTTGCTAACCAAGCTTTATGTTCTTGGTATTCAAATGCATTGAACAGAAGGCTTTGATTTTCCAAATGTTGTGGTCACATGAATCCTTCGTATAAATCTGTATAGCTAACATTTTCCCTTCTTTTTCTGGTTCCTGTTAAGTACTTCAAGACAACAGTATGATTCTAATGCTCCGGAGATTTAATCTCCACACCTCCTTCCTTGAACGACCTGCAAATATGCTTGTTTTCCTACCCATTCTTGAATCTCCTCTGCGAAGATTATGAACTTCGATTCCACAGGAGCAATCGTGTTCTTAGGTTTACCAAAAGAGATCTGATCAATTGTAATAATCTTGCATAATTGTCCAAAAACATACTTTAACAGTAATCTTCTGCACCAACATCAATCCATAAAGTTAATCTGCTAGACAACAGTGTGATCACAGTGTTTCTTTTTCCCAGGATTCATACGCCCTGTGTCGGGTTTTCAAGAAGACTGTTGCATGCACAAGAGGTGAAGAACAAGGGCAGTGCAGCTCAACGTTGGCGGAGAGCTTGCGAGACTCCATGGCCGAGATCGAGACGCACTCACCTGATATGCCCATGGGGTCGTCGTCACTGCGAGTAGATGATGACCATGATGGAGATGATGAAGCAAAGGACGATAGTTGGATGCAGTTCATCATCGACGATGCGTGGTGCTCCAACGTATCAAACAACGACGGCGGCGACGAGCCTTCATGTGTGGCTGCTGTTGCCAATTGATGCTTCGTTCTTCGTTT